CGTAACTGACATTGGCTGCCAAAAATTGGATTTGCTCACACAAGCTCTTGGCTAATTCCTTATTCATTCGTCCTGAAATATACTAGCCAGAAATGCGATTGCTTTATAAAAAAAAGAGAACCATTTTGAAATATACATAAGTGTTTTTACTCTCTAGAAAATAATTTATGCACCTCACATGCGCGGGTTTGCATTTTGTTGATACCCGGTTTTGTACTTTAAACGACGATATGTAAATGTACATTTCATTCCTGCTCATTTCTGCCAAATCGATATTAAATATTTATAACTTTAGTTGCAATCCAGATGTGTAATCCAATGAGTTGGAGGTGTATTACCAGCAGCCAACTTTCTTCTCTTATCGCACCGTGTTGGTTTACAGTTGGGTGGATTTGGTCGGTAAGTTGTACCAGAGAACATTTAAAATATGAATGAATGAATGTTTTCTGGTTGAACTCAATTCTATTGAAAAGAGCGCGGGTACTCATTTTCCCGTATTCAACCAGGAACGACCGTCAGCCACCACCCATCGTATGTACATTTGTACATATCCATACTTAATTAATAATAAATCAAACATATTTGACAAGCGACTAATTTTTCGTGGGTTTATTAATTATATCGCTTTATATTGAAAATACATTGGCGCAACATACTAAGCTTTCGAGTTCAAATTTTCAAAAAAGTGCCAAATCTCCTCAAAAATATTTCCAACAGTCATCCATCTTAAACCTCCTTTATTTAATACCTATATTTTAATAAATCATTCATTTTGTCAATTATAAAAATTGAGTTAAATTTCCAAAAAGTGGAAACCCTACTCAAATATATTTTCGGCCGTAAACCTTAATAAGAATCTAAAGCTTGTTACCGACATTGCAATATTTCATTTACTTTATCAATTTAACTGAGTTAAAATATTTGAATTTGTGGCAATCCTTCTTAAAAATATTTCCAACAGTTATCTTTCTTAAACTTTTTTAATTTGATACAGATATTGTAATATTTCATTTATTTTATCGATGTACTCTAGTTAAATTTTCAAACAGGTGGCAACCCTCCTCAAACATACTGTCGACTGTAAGCCTTCTTAAAACTCTGTAGTTTAACAACCACATGGCAATATTTCATTTATTTTGTCAATTTGACTGAGGTAAAATTTTCAAATAGGTGGCAACCCTCGTCAAAAATATTTCCTGTGGTTGTCTTTCTTAAACCTCTTTAATTTGATACCCATACTGTAATTATTTATTTATTTTATCAATATAATTGGGTCTAAAAATTTTCAAATAGGCGGCAACCCTCCAATTTTTTGTGATATCATTGGTTCTGGTATTATACTTACTGAAATCGGTTCAGCCGTTCTCGAGTTTTGACGACCGTGACATACGAACACAACATTTTTATTAATATAGATAGGTCATTCTATAACATAAAACATATAAGTCAAAGTTTCACACTTTGTATAAAGTTCACAAGAATTCAAACAATTTTCATCAAATTTTTTATTCAGAATTTCTAGATCTAAATTTTTAAGTATGCAGTTTTGCAGCCCGTTTAATTTTAGTAAAACAAAGTACAAGTTTCAAGACGCTAGAAATTAACATTAACTTTTTAGAATTTTTTTAGTGAAGAGTGTTGCCCATTTTCTTCTTTATTAAAATAGGTTTTGATCACGCGTTGTATGGAAGAAAACGCACAACACCCTTCACTAAAAAATTATAAAAAATCAATCTTCTAGAAATTGAGGAAAAAAATTTTTAATTTTGATGAACATTTTTTGAATTTTCGTGAGCTTCATATAAAGTGTGAAACTTTGATTTACATGGTTTATGTTATAGAATGAACTTTATTTTCACAAGTAATTTATGAAAAGAATTTCGCATGAAAATACTTGTGAATTTTATATTAAAATAAGGTGTACACTTACATGTGGCACCGACTGTACGTTTAACATCAACCACTGATGTATGGGAAATTTACAAAAAAAAAAAATACTCCCATAGAGAAGTCTTTTCAAACCAAAATAATTAAAGAATCATGTAGAATCCTTAAAAAGAGAGATTACGCCAGCTGATACCTATGTACATTGTTAAAATTCAACTGGGGCACTGATATTGTTCCTTCATTTTCATCATTACCTGCTGCGAAAAAAAATCTTTTGTTTAACAGCTGCCAGCCAACAAGTAGTTTAAGTGTTGGTGCAGCAGCTCAGGTAAATTTCGGTACACTTAAACATAACAAAATAAAACAAGTGAAAAGAAAACAATGGGGCCTTATCTTATTTGCTTTAAATTCTAATTACACAAACACTCCCAAAGTGACAGCAAAAACAGATATAAAAGGACGCTGAACGAAGAGGACGACCATCAGTGCTGAAGAGTGAATCGAGCTTGTCGTACAGAGCAATAAAGTGTATACATAATTTAGTTAAAAAGAAAATATCAAAAATGAAATTTTTTGCTGCCTTTTTGCTGTTCGCTGCTATGGTGAGTGAAATCTAAAAAGTTGTAATTTTAACTTTGAAAACCATTTTAATCTTACCACCCATACTAAGAAGTCTTTCACATTTTCTTTTATTTGCAG